GGAACTGCCCAAGAATTCAGACATATTTCCTATTGCAGGTTTATATTTCATAGTGACAGAAGTTCAAATGACTTCTTTAGAAACTTTAAATTTGTTCTGGCACCAAATCCTGCTTCCCAGGGAATTAAAAATTTGATGAATTTCTTGACTTGATTAATACATCCAATTTTGCCACTGTGGGTTCTTCACAGTGAAAATCTGTATTCGATTCACTGGCTCAGTAGTTGGAAACACCAATGGCATAGAAGACTTTGGTAAAGTCAGAAAATACAGCATAGAAATCCTAATCTTTTCGTACCTTCTATATCTGAAATAATTCTATAATGCTGAGCTACATTGCCGTTTAAGGGACAAGAATAAAGTCAGAAAGATGAAAGGCCAAAAAGAAATGAGACTTGGAAAATGGTAAGGACAATAAAAAGAACTTTTATAGCTAAGCTTGGAACAACAAGAAGCTGAGAGAATAGGTTTATCTGGGGCTTCTGGAAGATGGTACAATCACAACAGATTAATAACACAAAATTGTTCCGCTCTAGTACGCTTTTATCTTCTCTATTAACAGGTTAGTGGCAAAAACAATATTTTTTTGTTTTAACATTAAATTTGGGATTTTGGGTTAGACTTAACTGAATAAATAAAGAATATGGGAGATATGACATAATGCTAGTATACATAAAAAATATAAAGTTTTTATTTGATGCAAATGCAATATGAGCAGAAAATGTGATAGCTAATGTAACTTTACCTACGTGAAAGAGAACAGTATCAAGACAACGGGAGAAAATGGGGCACTCCACATCGTCCTTGCCAGACGTATCTGGAATAGCGTGCTGTTCGTTCTGGAGACACAACGTGAGAGGAATGTGGATATGCCGGGTGCATTTTGATAAGGGATGCGTGATGGGAAGAGGTCTGGAAAGTGTCACAGGAATCTATTACAGGAATTAGAGGTATTGGTCTGGCAGAGGGAAGACTAGGGTGGTGGTACTGTGAGGAGCATGTTAAATGCCTTCTGATTCAGACAGCTGGCATGAAGAACAGGCATTAGGCCCCATGTACAGAACAAAGGCATTTACATTTAAGGCAATACTTTTACAAATTAAAAACTTTAAATTGCTTACCTTGTGAAATAGTGAGTTCCTAGGACTGGAAAGTGTTCTAAAGATGGTTAGCTATTATCTGTGTAGGAATTTATAGATGGGATTTCTACACTGAACTGGGTCATTGGTGTACAGAATATTGCAAAATCCAGAAAACTTTATAATTCCAAACTAGGAGTTAGGGCTGGCGGTATGAACATAAAGCTAATTAGAAGGCGTGGTTTAAGGTATGTTGGAAATGCTCTCAGGCTCCTCTCCCCTCAAAAAATAATCCTCATTATAAAATAATTATTCCATTAGATATCCAGTCCATTAAGTCTTGCATACTTCTGGTGTATTCAAAGAGACTTATTAAAATGCAAATGTCCTTAGAGGAAGCAATAACACAAGGGAATTAGTTACAGCTTGTTGACAGAAAGACATGAATGAGAAAGGCAGCACGACTAAATGAGGTCCAAGTGGGCATAAGTCTGTAGAGGACAGAATCCTTGTAGTAAAAGAACCAACAATATTTCTTCAAGGTTCTCCTAGAGATCCAAGAGATGACTGAGGCTTCCACTCTGACTTCTATGAAGAGGTGGCCCAGTGTTCCAAGGTGTCTATCATAACTTTTCGTGAGTACAGGTTCTGAAATGGGTCACTAATGTAAACCATCCTGTGTTTATGAAAATAGAGAATTTCTGTGTAATACGTGCCTAAGACATGTAAACAAACTGCTAAATTTCAGAAGACACAATGTGTGGCAAGGTTTATCAAAACCGAACTAGAATTTCATGTACGGTGTAACTTGGTATTACTAAATAAAATTAACTTTTGGGTGGGTTCCACTTAATAAAATATGCCATGTTATTATATATGTTTTTATTGACTAATATGTGTTAAAGTTACATAGGTTTCAGACAGGAGATTAATGTAGCCTGAGCCAAGATTTTTCTCCTAAACATCTTCATTGAAATTCCATGTATTTCCACTTGTCAATGATCCTAAATTAAACTAATATTTTCTCTTGCCCTGGCTGATTACTCCTCCTTGCTTCGCTAATGTCAGAAATAATATCACTGCCGTTCTTCCCATCGTTCAGAGTGAAACCATGTATTTTCTCTTCTGCACCCCATGTCCAAACAAATGCTGAGTTCTTTTACTACAAGAAAGGGCTTCATATACCTCTTTCTATCCAATGCCATTACTTTAGTTCGTGCCCTAATTATCTTTTGTGTGTACTGCAATTTCTCATAATTAATATCTGTACTTCCCACCTCTCTCCTCATGAGAGCTCTCTCACACATTGGGTACATGAGAACTTTTCCTAAAGCACACATTCTTACCAAGCAGCTCCCTCGCTCAAAAAACCTTCAACGACTCACTATGATACTACAGAAAAACGCCTAAACTCATTAATATGGCATTGAAATCTTCTATTATGTGATTGCAATCTATCTTTACAGTTTTATCTCTTAGTAGTTCATTTTATGGTCATCGTTCTCCAATTAATCCATTGTACGGTCCACTATCTAAGGATATTCTATACTTTGCAACAGGTGGAATGGCCTTCCTCAATTCTTTCTCCTATAATTTTATCCATTTCTCAAGGTCCAGGCTTAACGATCTTTTTCTCCATCAATCAATCTCTCTCTCATCTAGGCTTAAAGGTCTTTTCCTTAATCAATCAATCAATCAATCTCTATCATTTATTTATTTACTTTTCTTTCACTTGTCCTCTGTTCCCCCATGGAACATTCCTGTCCCATCCCATCTATTGCATTACACCTTATATCCTCATTTGGTTTTATACATCTCTCCTCCCTCACTTAGAGTCAAGGACAGTGATTAACAAAGACTGCAACAGATCCCAAGTGTTCTGTAAATGTACTTTCCTTTGATTATGTTTTAATTTGATTATCATCAAAATTATATTTTGATTATATTACATTATCAGGAATAAATGATTTAGTCTAGGGGCATTACTTCAGCAGTTTGGAGCTGAGAAGGGTTGCATATGAGTTGCTACTCATCTAGCATTTGTTTGCGTGTCTTCATGGAGATGGTGAGAACATTTGCTTCCTGAACAGCACAGCTCTTTGGTGCAGAGAACCCCGTCACAGTAATTTTGCTCATCTGAGCATTCTCTGTGAACTGAGGCACGGTGGGGCCATTAGTCACAGCCACAGCCTCTGCTCTTCAGTGCTCTGTGGAACAGTGAGCTGCTGCGAGGGGAGAACGGAGGGAACCAGCTCTCACCACCCTCAACGTCACTGAGAGCACAGGGTAGTGGCAGATGCCACAGGCTACTTACTAGACAGCGCTGGCTCTTTCCTCCTCACTGCCAGACAAACACTGGGCAACCACTTCACCGAGGAGTCCACTTCCTGGAGACTCGGGGGTAATTCCTAATTAAGACACTTCTGGTGATACCATTCTCCTTTCTACCAATTTCTCTGGGGATGTGTGACTGAATTCTGGTCAATGGAATACAAAAGGAAATTTGCTAAAGTGACTTCATTCTTGAAAAGACACAAAAAGTAAAATGTTTGCCTTGTGTTGTGTCTGAAGGTGACATTTGGAACCATGGCTGTTGTGTTGCAACTGTAACAGGTGCCAGCCCTTGGACACTGCCAGCCCTGGAAAGTTGAAAGCAGCAAGACAGAAGGAGCCAGGGACCTTGATGATATATTGTCACAGTACCAGGGTCACCCTACCTTGGGGCTTTTATTAGGTGGCAAAATACATTTTCCTTATTGTCTGAGCCAGTTGAACAGGGGGTTTCTCCTACTATAGCTAAGACACCCTGACACAGAGGACCTTGTGTTGGCATCAGGCACGGGCTCAGGTGGCAGACATTAATCACTGTTAGGGCTTCAGGGGAGAAGCACATTATTTCTACTGCCTGCCTAAAAACTTGTGCTGGTTTGTTGCTAGGTCCTGCATCTGTCGCTCTTTCCATGGATCTGGTAAGCTGTAATCTCTTTAAACTACATAGCACGGTCCCTATTGTAACAATTATCAAACTTACAATTACTAATGTTTGCCTTCTTCACTGGTTTAAAAGCTCCATGAGGGCAGTGACTGCATCTGCCAGGAAAATTCCTGTATTTACAGCATCTAGCACAGGGCTGGCACACAGGCGTGCGATAAACAGGTGCTCAGTAAATATCAGTGAAATGCACAAATGAATGAGTAAATGAATTTACAGTCATGAATCACTTAATGACGAGGATAGGTCCTAAGAAATGCATTGTTAGGCGATTTCACCCTTGTTCAAACATCAGAGAGTGTACTTACACAAATCTAGATGGTATAGCCTCCTACACACCTAGGCTCTATGGTACTAATTCTCTGGGACCACTATCATACACGCAGTCTGTCAATGACTGAAATGTCATTTTGCAGCACATGACTGTGTAGAGAACATCAAAAACATTCTCCCTGCTATTTCCTTTGCTTATACCTTCCCTGCCCTGATTTCTGACCAATTCAGGCCTACAAAAGTGAGCTCTGTCCTGCATTTTAGGAGACAGGAGAGAGAAAAAGGAAGGAAACTATCTTTACAGCTACTGTCTGCCCTCTCAGTGCGGAGGGGAAAGGAGACAATTCTCAGACGCAACTTACAAAATATTTTCGTAAAGAAAAACTGCAATCATCTCCTGTATTGCATATTGGATCAAAATATTATTTAAAAAATGTTCAGAATCCTACTTTTTAGAGCCAGAATGAAGTTTAGGATGAATTCAGTATAACCGAGCTGAGCAAAGATTTATCAACCAACTATTTCAAGTCCCTCATTTTTGAGAGGAAGAAACTGAGAGCTACTGTCACGACACCAGCATTAGTCTTTCTTAGGCTCTATGATGGAATAAAAAGTTGAATGCAGACAGTCACAGTCATTGGCAACAAAAAGGATATTTCCCTGGCAATGTCGTTCCGACTCTGTAATTGGTGTAGCTCTTGCTTGGATGGAAGTTGAAAATAAAAAGAAGAGCTGCTCTCTCAAAAGCGATGACCTTATTGCCTTCATGCTTTTCACTCACAAATGCCTGCAAGAATTAACACATATATTATATTTAAATATAATATATTGCTGTTAGAAGTAAATTATTTACAAAAAAGTTGTTTTTGTTTATTAATAGCCTTGTTAGTTATTAAGCCAAAAATGAAAATGCCAGCACGTTACATTTTTGAATATGTTGCAATTCTGCCATATCAAACTCTAAGCCAAGAACAGTCTCAAAAACTGCTAAAAGAGTATGAAAATCTCACCAGCCACTTGCCAACTTCAAACTAAGCACAAAGCACTAGTGTTGTGGCTTAGGTTTTAAGTAAAAACATGGTACCTGTGGCTACAGACAAAGTGTTTGTGTGTATGTTTATGTACTTATAAGCGAATTTTCTTTAAGACTTTTCTTTTAGTCCCCAGATTAACGAGGTAAGGTACATAAAATTACTTTTCAAAATATAATGTAACATTGTTATCATATGAGAGTTCTGAAGTTGTAGTTATCTTAAAAACTTTACATAGTTGCACAACTTCGTCAGATACAAGGGCAACTTAAAGTCTTCTACTATATTCATACATATGCCTAATCAAAGAGAAGGTCTGAAAAGACAAGATACCATCCACAAGCTCTCTTATTTGGTACACCATGTTTTATAGTGGGGGTGAGGAGCCTCTGCTGTTGGGCACCGCCCTCTGCCAGGCCCAGCGTTGAGAGGACTCATTTCCATGCACATCAGCATCACCACTCTTGGTAATTTTGAAATGTGAACCACGGCTCCGGCGTAAACAGCACGCCTTTTGGTATTCAACACTGTCCCTATTGAAAAGGAGCATCGTTTTGCTCCCTCTCCTGGAAATAGCATTACTAATAAATGTGATTAGGGCATTCGTGTCATGTAGCCAATCTTACTGAATATATAAGCACCTTTGTTCAACCATTAAAAGAAAAAAATCAGAGACAGAAAAGTAAAAACACATCAACAGTAATTTCAAACAACACCAGTAAAAAGCAAATGGATTATAAGTAACACATACTATATGCTAATTTTTGCAAGAGGAAAAAAAGAAGCCTGTATAAAATTTGCACCTGTTAATTACATTTTCTAAAACTTATTGAAAATGGACACGTTAATTCCAGAGGAGAGTCAGGCTCATGAAAAATACAAAACAGCATGCAGGTATAATGGCATCTATTGAAATGACAAGTTAGAGACCAGTAAAGGAAGGAAAAAAAGGAACAAAGAAATCTACATGTTGTCAAAGTCGTTTCTTTATGGCAGCATAATTATTTATATAAAGAAAAACAGTCAAAACAATTAAGATGTTTCCACAGCAATTTTCAAAATGGATTCCATGCAGAGCTTTTTGTCATTTATTTTAACCAAATGAAACAAAAATTACTAAATTTAAACAACAACAACAAGCTAACCAGGAAAGTAAGCAGGGCATTATGTTTAAGACTTTCATTATCTATTGGGGAGACTTCAGCGACATGTTTTGACAACCTGAAGTGTGTCACAGGGTACCACACGCTGAATAATAAAGTGATGTTTAAAAGATCTGCATACAGATTTACGTGGATTGCCATTCGAAGCATGTACAACATTGGTGACTAAAACATAACATTCAGAGGAAAGAGCTTACCTGGGGAGCGGAAAGCCAACCACATCTTTCTTCCAATTTATTCATATCCCTGTCAAAGTTATTTAGGAACTTGTAGCGAAGAAGGTCATCATCAGTTAAATGAAACTGCCTTCTGGCATAATGGTAGCTCTCATTATTCCCCTTTCTTGGGAAGTCTAGCCATTCCGGATGCCCAAATTCATTACCTGCATTAAAAACAAATATACCTCCCACTCAGTAATATTCACATTGCTTACTAAGATAACTCAATAATTATATGTTTTGAAGCCCTTAAAATCCAATTTAGGTTACAATTTACTACAGCTGTGCCCTGTAAATGATGTACAAACCTGGGTCAGAAACGGCACAGTCTAACACAAAGAGTACCGCCCACGTCTGGATCCAGGTCCGGTTTCAGCCTGGACACGTTTCTCCCCTATTGCGTGCCTCATTCCCTCAGGCACAAACTGAGAACAGTTATCTCTGTCATCCTTGCTCCATCTCCGAAATAATCTCTGAAGTCTCTGAGTAATTTCCGAGATCTCTATTTCCGCAATCTCCGAAATCTGTACATTGCTTTACAATTTCCAAAGGCTTTGTGGTGTACATTATTTTTTCAACCTCAGAGGGACTCTGTATTATATCCATTTCATAGATGAGAACTCCAGAGCTCTGGGCAGTTAAGAGATTTGCCCAGCCTCACACAGAGAATAAATGGAAAGCAACCACTAAAATTCAGTTCTTTTGATTAAAATGCAAAAGTTTTAATGAAGTTCTTTCTACCTCATCACATTAGGCAAGTACATTTTAAACTTCAAGTGCTACAGAGACCCAAGTCATCACTCTCATTATTCATTTTCCCTATTTCTTTCTCAGATCTATGTGTTACCATTAGATGTGCATCTTTAATTTTAATTTGTGTCTGCGTGGGTATGTGTGTGTATAGCTGGGACACTTGGTTGGGAATCCACTTAAATATTATTTCTCATTATAATGATGAGAACCAGAAACCCAATACACTTGAAAATAAAATAAAATAATAAGACATACATATTCTTCATTCTGAAAATAAAATTTAAGTATTAGTCATCTAATAGATTGGCTCCTATTGTTTTCCCCAAGTTGGATTTCTCCTTTACAGCTTCTTCTTTTCTTCTAAAAGTTACATGCTACTTGCCAAAATTTACTTTCATTTACCACTTTAACACTAATTTTCTAAGCTACAAATTTCTCTTTTGAATTAGAAAGTACCAATACAGGAGGATCCTATTTTAAAGAAATGAGTAAATTAATATTGCAATAAATGAAAACTAATAAGCTAGGATGTAATTCAAAGTGATTTATCGTGGAGCTGCTTCAAACGGTAAACTCTGCTAAGGAGCGCTGCAATTTATATTTAACTTTTCAGGGCCACAGTCATCAAAATAAAAATAACAGCCAAACAAATATGTCCATAGTAGTGTCATAAAAATCAAAACGTCTGCAAACATTTTGCTAAATTCTAATATTGCCATCTAAATAATATTTTTTATAATGTCGCCTGCTATGTGACAGAGGAGGGAACCAGATTTCTGACTCTGTGGGCCTTTATTTACTATGAAATGCCTTAAAGTGACAAGGGACCTCCCTCTGCTACACTTTGGAGTCCTGCCTGGGTCTCGAGCCTGATTCATATCAGTCCATGGTGCAGCCACGGCATAGCCTGTTCCATCATCCACTCAACTGGCAAAATGATGCGCCTCCAGAATTGTAGTGAAGCACGTTCTTTACCGATAATGAAGGTACCGCCAGCTGAGGGGAAACTACATGTCCAGGTACTAACCGGATTTCATCTAGTGGCGACCTTAAGGGAGACTAGAAACAGCATGAGGGAGCTAAAGTAGAGCAGCCTACAAACTGGATCCAGGCTTCCTATAGGCAAAACACTTTTATTTTGGTATAGCCATGGACCTCGGCATTGCCTCCAGGAATAAACACTTCCTTCAGCCTTTTCTGGGGGAGACTGCCACATCAGTGCCATCGTGATTATCACAGTAGAGGCAGCGGGAAATGCTTAATGTCTGCTTGCTATGTGCCAGGCAAATGCATATAGATTAACTCTTTCTACCTTCAACAAACCTGAAGTAGGTAATACTATGATGCAAATTTACAGGTAAGTAAACTGAGGCACAGAGAGTTATTAAGTAGCGGGGCCTATGAACCCAGACAGTCTGGTTCAGCACTCTGACTCTTAATTACTTCTCCACGGTATTGGTCTGGAGTAAATACCACGGAAACACAGTGCAAAGAAGGACCAGCCTCTCGTATGTGGACAGAGACTCCAGCTACTGGGATGACATGCTGATGCACTGGAGTGAGAAAGTGAAATGCACTGAGGAGTTCGGTGTAATCATAAAGTAGGGCTTGTGGTGAGAAGAGGTGCGGCAGGCAGGCGGAGGTGAGGTTAGGAAAGGCCTCATAGAATCTGGACATTAGAATCCAGACAGCAGGGAACCAAAGGCTATTTCTAAGTAGGGAATGAAAAGTTCAAACGTGTTATTAACACGTCTCTGGTACAGCGTGGAGAAGAGACTGGATACTGGGGACAGCTGAACGTTAGGAGAGCTGTATGGAACCCAAAGTCTAAGGGAAGAGAAGGTGAGATGCAGCAGGAATGGAGAAAAGAAAGATCAATTCAAATGGCCTTTCTGGGGTGGAAACAATGGGACTTGATGACTGCCTGCTGAATGGAGGTTGGGAGGAAAGGGGAAGTGTGAATGCAATTTTGAAGTTTCGAGCTCAGGAGACGGAGTAGTGCCAGCACTAAGTGCGCTTGGGGAAAACGGTGACAGAACTGACAGAATGTGTATGGGGAGAAGATAATGAGTTCATTTTTTGGCATGCTAAATTTAAGACCTGAATGATATGCCAGCATCCATGGATTTAGAGTAACATTGATAAAAATAAAGTACTGAAATTCAGGAGAGAATTGGGGGTGAGGACCAAGAGTAATTTGTAAGGACTCAGTGAGGGATGGTTGTTACAGCCACAGGAGGAAAAAGGGCCACGGGCAGCATCTCCAGGAACTGCAGGCAGAAAGAAGGCCGATCAGAGAAGACTGAGGAGGAACGGTCAGCAGACAAAGAGGGACATCAGAAGCAAATACAGAAGGCTAAGAAGAGTTTGAAGGAGGGTGGCCAGTGTCAAACGCTACCAGGAAAAAAACCAACTTGGTACACTCTCACCCTCTGGTGTAGGAATGAGTATGGAGCTGTGCTTTTCAATCTACAGCATGCTCCGAGGAAGCATCGAGATTCCAAGAAAGCTTGTTAAAAATGTTCATCCTCCAGCGATTCTGATTGGTTACCTTGGGGTGAGTCCCAGGCAGGAATCTACATTGTCATCAGCCTCCCTGTAACATTCTGAAAGGAGGTGGGCGAAAGCTACACCCTGAAGAATAACAGCGCAGAGACTGGAGAGTTCTTTAGGTCTAAGGACAGTTATACAAGATGATGCCCAGGAACACAGATTTCCAAGTCAGCAAGACTTGGGTTTTAATTCCAGCGAGGCCACTTAGAAGACTGGAAGGAGGTCAGTGAGCTCTTGGTACGGGGTCTGGAACCTGTAAGCTTTCAATGCCTAGCAGCTTTTATGTGACACATTTCCACTCATTACCGACGTTTTCCAGGAAGGAATGACATAAAGGGCCATAGATGAAAGTTATAATAAAGCTAGAATTTCTGGTGCCCATGATTCTGAGGCGGGAACTGAGCAGCCCCAGCCTGCAGCAGACGCAAGGCACAGGAAAGGGAGCTCTTCAGCTCCTCTTCACTTAGGTTTCATGGTGCGATGCTATTCCTTTCCTTAAGTGCAGAAATTCTACACAGACTCATTTATTCACATATTTACTCAGACAAACACATTTCCCTAAGCCAAGTATTAATGTCCTTTGAATTATCTGCTATTTTACATCTTAAAATGCAGGACTGAATGTGAAAATAATTTTGCTACAAGACATCCAGATTGATAGGGTAAGTCAGGTTGCTGTGTTAGGAGCTCCCTCTCTGCTCTCTTCCTTCATTATTCCTACATGTTCATCCTGCAAAAACTCTGAACAAGCTCTCAGGGGTTATTTTATACACACACACACACATATTAACTACAGATTACATACATACTATAGTATATATATGCTATACGCTGTATATATATTTGGCTAGATATATAGTATGTATTTTTATAGTATATATAGGATATAATTAATTACATTCCACTTAAAATTAACATTTTAGGAACCTTCTAAAACTAGAGCTCAGCTCTGGCTGGAACACTACTGGCACTTGAGGATCTCCTCATCCCCTAACTTCTTCTCAGCCTTTTTTTTTTCTTTCTGCTGTTTCTCCCCAAATCACCCCAGTATATAGTTGTATATTTTAGTTGCGGGTCCCTCTAGTTGTAGTATGTGGGACGCCACCTCAACGTGGCCTGGTGAGTGGTGCCATGTCAGCTCCCAGGATCCGAACCAGAGAAACCCTGGGCTGCCGTAGCGGAGCACGTGAACTCAACCACGGGGCCGGCCCCTCAGCATTCTTGAAAACGTTACTTCAGGTGACAATTCCTGTTGCTTGCCGTCTTTTCCTCAGGTAGACTAATGAGGCGAAAACACATTCTTCTCCACTGTATAGTTTAGCTTCTCTCTTAATGTCCCTCCTTGGAAGTATGGTTTTCATCAGTACAGAACTGAACGGTGTTTTTGACCAAAACTATTGGGGGCAGCATTGACCTATCTCATAATCTGGTTAAAAGCTAAGTGCCTGCTCCCCAGAAACACACATGCACTCTCACAGGACGCAGCCCCAAGGATTCAGAGACGCCACTCAAAACCGATCCCACGTGAAATTACATTATCATCATTTATTTCTTACAGTCTAGCATGAAAATTCACACCCTTATAATCTATAGCATAAATAAGGATTAAAGAGTAGCACTATTACAATTAAATGAGGAAAGGCATGAAAATTATTTAGAAGAGTACAAGACAGACAATATACAGCTCAATAAATATTATCTACTATTATTAGTGTTATATTTTTCTTTTAGTTATTATTTTTAATATACAAGTAATATACTGATAAATACATTGCTTTTTAAAATTACAATTAAATACACACACAATATCTGAAATCTTACTAAATAACCACCTGCTATGGTCTGAATGTTAGTATCG